AGCATGTACTTCTTCTCTCTGGCCTGCTGTTCTGTGGTAGCTATTTCTCTGTCCACACCTATAGCATCTGGTCACACAAACTTACACAGCAGGGCCCTTTGGGACACAAGAGCCGGCCCACGTGGACCTGAAGGCGTGGCACCCTGTGATGGGCACCACGTACTGACCAGCTGCCACTCAGGTCACAGGGGAACATCTTCTCCCTCTTGGGCTGGCAAGGGAGAAACGGTCATCCATTCGTAAAATATCCTCGCTGCTATGAAGGACAAACCAAGCCCCATGTCACTGCTCACGAGCAGGGCGAGACACCAGTGTCCTCTGGGCACGCAGCCGCACCGAGGTGCCAGCCGATCCCCCATGGCACAGCTGTGGGCAAACCAGCAGAGATCTCCTCAGCCCAGTCCCCGGTCCCCAGATGTCCCGGGGAAGAGTCCCTGAGGGAACAGGGGCTGCAGAGGGGCAGGTCATGGCAGCCCAGAGTCAGAGCTGGGCTGTGCCAGCCTTGACAGCACTTCCTTCAAACCCCGGCTCTGGACTCTCTCTCTCACCCAGCTGCCTTCACTCCATTTGGTACCTGGACATTTTCCTTCACATGTCCCCTCTTCCCTGCCCACAAGTAGATCACAGCATCTTTGGGAGACTGCAGGTAGAGGCAAACAGACCGACGAGTGATTACTCCAGCCACAGCTCCGTACAACTTGCCGCCACCTCAGCTAACTTCTGAGCTACACTGAAAAGCCACGGCACGACACTCGGAGGCATGAAGCACAAGGGCAGAGGAAGGCTGAGGTTTCTATCATCAGGGACCCCACTTACTTCCCTCTTCAGTTCAGGCAGTGGGAGCAAGAGGAAAGACAGTGACAAAGGCTGGGCCCAGCCTGCTTCTGTCCCCCTGTCACTCACCGTGCAGCAGCTGTGACGTTCCTGCAGCGATGTCCACTTGCCAGAACCATCCCTGCAGGGCTGGCAGGGGAAGGCTGTTCCCACACCATGCTGCCGTTTGTACTCCACCAGCGGGCCAGAAACCAAAGGCAGCGGCATCCCCTCATCACCTCTTCATTGTACCCCTCACAGGCCCTCCTGCTCATCTTCTGCTGAACCCCCCGTAATCCAGGAGGAAGCAGTCAATGACCTGCTATGCCACCTGGACACTCACAAGTCTATGGGGCCGGATGGGATCCACCCGAGAGTGCTGAGGGAGCTGGCGGAGGTGCTCGCCAAGCCGCTCTCCATCATTTATCAGCAGTCCTGGTTAACGGGGGAGGTCCCGGACGACTGGAGGCTTGCCAATGTGACGCCCATCCACAAGAAGGGCCGGAAGGAGGATCCAGGGAACTACAGGCCTGTCAGCCTGACCTCGGTGCCGGGGAAGATTATGGAGCGGCTCATCTTGAGGGCGCTCACAAGGCATGAGCGGGACAACCAGGGGATCCGGCCCAGCCAGCACGGATTCATGAGAGGCAGGTCCTGCTTGACCAACCTGATCTCCTTCTATGACCAGGTGACCCGCCTAGTGGATGAGGGAAAGGCTGTGGATGTGGTCTACCTGGACTTCAGCAAGGCCTTTGACACCGTCTCCCACAGCATTCTCCTCGAGAAGCTGGCGGCTCACGGCTTAGACAGGTGTACTCTGCGCTGGGTCAAAAACTGGCTGGACGGCCGGGCCCAGAGAGTTGTGGTGAATGGAGTTCAATCCAGTTGGCGGCCGGTCACGAGCGGTGTTCCCCAGGGCTCAGTTTTGGGGCGGGTCTTGTTTAATATCTTTATCGATGATCTGGATGAGGGGATTTAGTGCACCCTCAGTAAGTTTGCAGACGACACCAAGCTGGGTGGGAGTGTTTATCTGCTCGAGGGTAGGAAGGCTCTGCAGAGGGACCTGGACAGGCTGGATCGATGGGCCCAGGCCAACTGTATGAGGTTCAACAAGGCCAAGTGCCGGGTCCTGCACTTCGGCCACAACAACCCCATGCAGCGCTACAGGCTTGGGGAAGAGTGGCTGGAAAGCTGCCCAGCAGAGAAGGACCTGGGGGTGTTGGTTGCCAGCCGGCTGAACATGAGCCGGCAGTGTGCCCAGGTGGGCAAGGCCAATGGCATCCTGGCCTGTATCAGAAATAGTGTGGCCAGCAGGAGTAGGGAAGTGATCGTGCCCCTGTACTCGGCCCTGGTGAGGCCGCACCTCGAATACTGTGTTCAGTTTTGGGCCCCTCACTACAAGAAGGACGTCGAGGTGCTGGAGCGTGTCCAGAGAAGGGCAACGAGGCTGGTGAGGGGTCTGGAGAACAAGTCTGATGAGGAGCGGCTGAGGGAACTGGGGTTGTTTAGCCTGGAGAAAAGGAGGCTGAGGGGAGACCTCATCGCTCTCTACAACTACCTGAAAGGAGGTTGTAGCGAGGTGGGGGTCGGTCTTTTCTCCGAAGTAACAAGCGATAGGACGAGAGGAAGTGGCCTCAAGTTGCGGCAGGGGAGGTTTAGATTGGATGTAAGGAAAAATTTCTTTACTGAAAGAGTGGTTAAACATTGGAACAGGCTGCCCAGGGAAGTGGTGGAGTCCCCATCCCTGGAGGTATTTAAAAGACGTGTAGATGAGGCGCTTAGGGACATGGTTTAGTGGGCATGGTGGTGTTGGGTTGACGGTTGGACTCGATGATCTTAGAGGTCTTTTCCAACCTCAATGATTCTATGATTCTATGATTCCCTCCCCAGACCTGAATGAACACTCAGTGTCAGGATGCATCCGTCCTGCTAGGCTGTGACTGGGACCCCAAGCCCAAGGCAGAGCTTTGCCTGTGTGGGCAAAGAGGGCAGGCAGGGGAAACAGAGAGCAACGATATGTGGGGCCACTCCAACATTGCAGCCAACCCCAGCACCACGGCAGCACCTTCTGGGACAGAGACAAGGCAGTTCCTGAACACCGAGCTCCGACAAATGCTCTGCCAAGGCCTGGCAAGCCACTGGGACTTCTCCCTGCTGGCTTGCCGGGCCCGGGAGGGCAATGCCCCCCGCACTGCCCAGGGTGGATGCTGGGCTGACCCTCGGACCTTTGCAACAGGAACTGCCACGCAAAGGGATCCCTCCGAGAACACGGACGCACGCGTGTGCACCCACCCTGTGCTGAAGGCCCCCGTGCCCCAGCCGCCCCGGGGTGGCGATCGCTCGCACGCACACCCAGCGGCTCCCACCCGCTCGGGGCAGAGCGGGGCCACGGGCCCAGCAG